CTGCAACACAAATTCAACTGGTCAGATATTACGGGCAATTTCTGACTTTGTGACCTTTCCGTTTGTGATGTAGTTTCATCTTCGTTACGACGAAACCGTTGTACTTCTGACAAACGCACACGATCACGCTTCTCTGCTATTCTACATGTATACTTATTTATTTCTACAGTAGTGCTAGCAGATGTGATACATAGCGAGTCAAAATCTCGAAGACCCTCTTCCCCTCTCTCTCCTCCTCTTTATAACCCATCTTATTCCAATCTAATTTCTAAGAAAATATCTGTGCACTTCCAGAAGGTTAGTGTGGTCAGTCCAGGATATAGTGTGGTCAGCCCCGACCACTTCCAGTCCCTTAGATTTCATTTTTACGACCTTCTCATGAGCCCAGTTTCCTCCTTAATTGACCACGACCTTCCCCTACATACTTCTGGTTCCTTACTCAGAATTGCTTCATGACAGCGTTATTCACTTAGGCACAGGACAATCCTTACCACTCCCGGTTGAAAAAGCAAGTCATTCCCATGGTTTAAAAATCCCGATGTTTTACTGGTATCAGGAGGAAGATTCTTATAAAAATTGTTTGCGTTTCAGGTGTGGGTTCGTCGTCTGGTCCTTGCTGGCACGAGCTGCGGAAATTCTCCTTGAAAGTGCTGAGGGATCTTGGTGCCGGAAAAACAAGCTTTGAAGATGCCATTGCTGGGGAGGCAACTGTCCTGATAAAAGAAATTAGGAACAAGGGAAGCCCATTTAATCCAACGAATTTAATATGCAACGCCGTCTCCAACGTCATCTGCTCAGTAACACTCGGTAAAACATTTGACTACGCTGATACTAAATTCCAGGAGCTTTTGAGATTGCTCAACAGAAACTTTGAGCTCGTTGGTGGTGGGTCTGCTTATCAGTTTCTGCCAATTATGCAGCGTCTGACATTTACGGCTTCCTTCAAGGAACTTCATCGAAACATGCTTCGGATAGTTGGGTTCCTGAAAGGGCACGTTGACGATCATCGTAAACATTGGGATCCAGAAAATCCAAGAGACTTTATCGATGTGTTTCTGGGAGAGATTCAGAATAACGAGAAAAAGAACATCAAAAGTCACATCACATCCTGTAATATGCTGCTCACCGTCTTCGATCTGTTCACCNGGAGGGACGGAAACCATCTCCTCTACCCTCCGTTGGGCCTTGCTCTACATGATGGCCTACCCAGAGGTGCAGAGCAAAATCCAGCGAGAGCTGGACGACGTGGTTGGTCGACAACGACTGCCTCGCCTAGCCGATAAATCGGACTTGCCGTACACGGAAGCGACCATAATGGAGGTGCAGCGCATTGCCAGCGTGGGCCCTCTCGGCTTGGCTCACATGTTCTCGCAAAGCACCTCCATCTTCGGGTATGACATCCCTCGGAACACCATGCTGGTAGCCAACCTGTGGGCAGTGAGCCGAGACCCAAACCTATGGCCCGAACCGGAGAAGTTTCAACCGGAGAGGTTTCTGGACGAGAATGGAAAAGTAAGACACCGAGAAGAACATCTTCCGTTTTCCACAGGTAAATAATTACACAAATTAACACATCACCTTTGCGACCTTCGGACTTTGCCTAAAACATTCATCTAACTAAAGATATCTCATTACTTCCATATCCACCAGTAATTTTTCTTTTGCAGGTCGACGAGTGTGTCCTGGAGAGCAACTGGCTAAGATGGAGTTGTTCATCTTCTTTTCCTTCTTCCTGCATCAGTTCACCTTTGTGAAGCCTGAGAATTCCCCGCCCATCTCCTTCAAGGCCATCAACGGTCTTACTCTGTCGCCATTTCCATTTGAAGTATTCGCTGTTCCAAGAGAATGAACGTGAATAAAGTAAAGAATAAATGAATGTGGCAAAGGAGCGAAGTACCTGCAATTGTAGGCTGAGCGAGGATATACGTAAATCCAAAGTGTATACAGTGTACATGTACTCGAGTTCTGTTGGTGAGAGTTTCAAGTTTCAAGCAGAAAAGCAACGTTTCTGTTAAAATAAAGCCTTTTCTGGTTCTGAACAAAACATTTTAATGAATGCGAAGGGCGTAGACCTATTTTGAGTTAGGACCTGAATGCTGTAATGAACATGTTATACCGTATATGTAAATCTTATTCATGATCTTATGGTATTCTACATAGACTACAAAATTGCTTTGCGTCAGCCCGTCGCCCCTATGCCACGACGCGACACTACGACGGCTCTGTCGCGACAGCACGACACGGCGGTACGACGACACAACGCCACGACATGACAGCAGGGTGGGACAGCACGACGGCACGATACAACGGCAAGACGCGCCAGCACGACTCGACGATATCAAGAAACAGCACAACGCGACGGCACGGTGCGACATTAAGAAGACAGGACGCAGCGCATTAAACCGTGACACTGCATAAAAGTGAGGCGACGCCACAACGCAATGGAGCTGTCGTAGTGTCGCGAGTCGGGGCGACGGCGCTACGCGACGCAATTTTGTCGGCTATAGAACACCATAATGATCCACACTGTTCTTGTAAAGTATTCGAAGCGCCAGTAACGCGTGAATTTCATAGTCGTTTGTGAACCAGCGAAGTGCAGTTCCCACCAAAGGAGCCTCTGTTGCTAAGAAAATTGCTACTATAGAAGAAGGTTGTTTCAAGTCTACCCGTTAGAGTCAGTGACGTTTCAAGTTGAGCTCGGGAGAAATTTTCGGCTGTATCTCCGGTGATCTTTCAACACGTGCTTGTTGCTGTCTTTACAAGTCACTCTTTTTACCTATTGCAGTTTGCGAGTGTGCAATTTGTTCAATTTGTTGCTAATGTTCCCCGTGTTCTTTTTTTCCCATAGGTTTTTTTGTGGGGGGTTTTCGCTCAAACCCCTGATCAGTGTTTAATTAGTGCCTTGATTATTTAAATGTTCACATGTGCATGATGTTGTAGTGGTCTGTATTTGTAAATATTAATGTTGTCGTATTTGTCAGTTTTACTTTTCACCATGAGTTTCTAACTATTGTACTAATTTATGTTTGCAGGGCCCCAATGGAAACCAGTTTGAAACTGTTTGGGCATACCCTGGGTAAAGAAATGGAATAAATAAATGGCAAATAAAAAATAAACAGAATAAAAGCTTAAACTAATGAGCTTTTCACACTGGCAAAGAATGCTGTATGACTCTGTAGAGTAACGACGAGAACTCAAGTACATAAACATTTTTACATGTACATGTATCACAACGTCACGTTTTGCCAACTTTTCTTAGTATATCACTCGATAATAATATAACTCGACAGGTTATATGGATCGACACCAGAGGATGACTTGGGACAAAGTTGTACATGTAGTTGATGTGGTTTATTCGGCTGGCTCGATGTGCGGCTCTCTGCCCGATTGTCATAGCTCATAGGGATTTTATACATTTTCTGGACATTTCATTTTTCATCCATCATACAAGTTTCCTTGCCTTATTAGGTATTGGCTACTAGTCTTTGAATATTAATACAGCGTGCATGAATATGTTTGGTTCATTTGGATTTGAGGGTAGGGTTGGTCAAATTAATGAACTTTGACTTTTCCTTATAAGGCCGGTGGGCTGCCTCATGGCCCATCCGGTCCAGCCCTGCTTTCCTCCCCATAGGCCTTGTGGTTCAACTAGTCATTCCTTAAGTGAGTCCCATTACTTGGAAAGCGGTTCTACTCTTGAAGGTCAATCCGTACAACTTAAGTAGCAATACAACATGTGCTATTGTAACATGGTGATAAGAAGGCATTTTAAATGTCAGCAAATACCATACAGCGCATAAAATACTCCAAATTAAACTTGATTTTGTGTACATGTATAACTTCGAAATGCCTGTAACCCTTTGATGTGCTCGTGATGTAAACTAATAATAAACTGTAGCCCACAAGATTCACGCTGTTTTGTCGTACCAAATAGCAAGCTTAGTAGAGGGGATGAAGGAATTTTTATGAGGTCAATAAAATTCATGCTTCTCTTGCAGTTATTTGTGAAGGAGTTTGAAATATTACGCTTCTATAATTATCTAGAAAGCAGCTATTCAGCTGATTCTTTAATCGCAACGCTTCACCTACCGAGGGAAACTGGGGGAGCATCGGTCGACGACATTACCCACCGACTCAGTGTGTTATTATTTATTTATCCATGAACAAATCAGTGTTACCATTAAGCACCCAAACGTGTCCACAACGCTGTGGTTCGTGACTTCGTCACAAAGGCGGACGCGCCGTGATTTGCAGGCTCCCATTGGTTGGGCGTTTATTTCCGGTTCCATCTAAACGGCGCTCAATGCACGTAACTGCATGTGCAGTGGCCGTGGTTTAAACTGCAGTGACAGTGCACTTACGAACCGGATAGGGATGGCCCAATCCGAAATGTTTGAATTACTGGTGAAATGTCTGCATCAAACGAGAGAGGCAATTAGTTCTTGTAAAATCAAAAAAAAAAGTCACCTCCGTGTGCCGCGTTAAAATGAATTCATTTGAGGTATATTTTATCACGGGTATACTCGACTCATGCGCTTGATCGATGGAGGAGCAGCTGACACCCATTGCCTGATTCTCTGCAGAAATCAACGTAGAAACATTTGAAATATGGGATAAGCGGGAGCAACAATTCTCGCTCCTTTTCGCTAGCAGGCGATTTGTATTCGATTATGAAAGAATATTATTATCCCCCCACCCACAAAAAGTAGGGAAATACATGTATTGAATTATGAGAGTGGAAGGTTGGAGTTGGCGGAGGGTTTTACGCATCGGTGAGTATTCGGCATGCCGACATCGCCTTCCTCTCCAGCACTTTTCCAGGTAGGGCTAATTGTTTCACCATTATATTGTCGTTACTATGGAGTTCTTACGACAAGCGCACAGGGTCACGACATGAAAGGTAACAATGACATCGAACCGTACACATGCACATGCAAATATCCAATTATGCATAGTACTCTCGGGAAACCAGGTCACTAGAGCGACATTTTCAGAGGAAAAAGAACAGACCGGTAGTATCAACTATCATACGGTCTTTCGCTTTCACAACAGAAGGGTAAAATACGTATCCGGCATTGCACCAATTTGGAGTTAGCATTTGGAAAATTTTCAGAGCCCCCAAACTGTCATGACTCCGTTGGAAGTGATAACAGACTGTCTGACAGTCAAGTCGATATTGATGTATGTAGGGGTTTTCTATGTTGCCCTGTGGTTTATCAGAAGACCAAGGAATCTCCCTCCCGGCCCAACTGGCTTACCTTTCCTGGGTTACTTCCCTAAGTTAGCCCTGCAGGGAAATGAGTACAAATCCCTGGCCTTGCTCGCCAAGACCTACGGGGATGTGCTCAGCTTGAATCTATGTGGACAGCTGGTGGTGGTCGTGAGTAGCTACGAAGCCGTCAAGAAAGCCTTTGCTCATCCGAACTGCAGTGACAGACCGCCGACAACCTTTTACAGCAAGGCCACGCCGGACGGAAAAGCTTTGGGTGAGAAATGGATTGCTTTTAATCGAATACATTTTCGTGAATGGCGCACAACACTGCAGATACCTGAATAGGGCGTACTGCGTGCAACTAGTAAAAAGCATGTATTGTAATGGTGTGCGTTTTGGGACACAATATTCCACCTTACCATGGAGCTATACCAAATAAGAACGTGACTCGGCCAAACGAAGCACACAAACGTGCAGAAGACAATGTGTTTCATTGTCTTCTGCACGTTTGTCTGCTCCATGTAGCCGAGTTGCTGAATCTTCATTAGAATGCAAAAATGCATGATGTATATTACTGGGGAAATGTGGACCTAGTTATTATAGTACCTACTTTAAGCCCTGCTATTGGCATGATTCAAATGTTAAACATATCTCAGTCATTTCTTTCCAACAGTAATGAAATGAGAAATCTAATGATTTTTATAATTTAATATATATAGATAACAAAGATAATAGATCGCCAGCAGGACAAACACATGTAGAAATAGACAAAGATGGAACACAAACAACTAGACTTTTGGCTATGAGGGAAAGCAAGTATAACGCAAAAAATTGTTTAGAAACCAATCACCCTTAACTTACCAGTAATAAACACCCTGTAATATGCTTTCATGTGTATTTTCATCATAAACTTTGGTGCTGTGACTTGTCGCAAGAGTTCCCACGGGGGAAGGTGCCCCCTTGCCGTTGCCTACACAACTGCTGACTTGGCTGCTTCTCCACTCATAGTTGCTAAAGACAATGTCTAAAAAATCATCTGTCACAACTTCTAGGATAAACATGATGTATACCAAGATGCATTTTGTTTTTAGGGGTAGTAGCTGCGTCGGGTCCCAGCTGGTCTGAACAGCGAAAATTTTCCCTGAAGGTACTGAGAGGTCTTGGTGTTGGAAAAGCAAGCTTCGAAGAAGCCATAGCTGGTGAGGCAAACTGCCTGATCAAAGAGATGAAGAGCCGCAAGGGAGACCCATTTAATCCGATTGACTTGATAAATAACGCCGTCGCCAACGTTATCTGCTCCGTGACCCTTGGTAAAACGTTCGACTACTCTGACACTAAGTTTCAGCAACTCTTGAGAATGATGAACAGAAATTTCGAGATTCTTCGCGGAGGGTCCTTGTACCAACTTTTGCCCTTCGTCCGATATCTGACATTCACGGCTACCTTCAAAGAGCTCCAATGGAATCTGCATCAGAGGTTGAGATTCCTGGGAGAGTATGTGGACGACCATCGTCAGCATTGGGATCCAGACAATCCAAGAGACTTCATCGATGTCTTCCTCGGTGAGATTCACAATAACGAGAAAAACAACATTAAGAGTCACGTCACACCCTATAATATGCTGCTCACCGTCTTCGAATTGTTCGTTGCTGGGACAGAAACCGTCTCGTCCACTCTCCGCTGGGCCTTACTGTACGCGATGGCCTACCCGGAAGTACAGAGCAAAATCCAGCGAGAGCTCGACGAGGTAGTCGGTCGCAACCGGTTGCCTTGCCTCGCTGACAAACCCGAGCTGTCGTACACAGAAGCGACTATCGAGGAGGTGCAGCGCATTGCTTGCGTGGGCGCACTTGGCCTGCCCCACATGTTTTCGCGAGACACGTCCATCTTCGGGCATGACATCCCTCGGAAGACCATTCTTGTTCCTAACTTCTGGGCAGTGAGCCGAGACCCAAACCTCTGGTCAGAACCGGAAAAGTTTCGACCAGAGAGGTTTCTGGACGAGAATGGAAAAGTGAGACACCGAGAAGGGCATTTGCCATTTTCGACAGGTAAGGTATAACCTTGTTTTTTCAAAGTAGCCGCGTCAGTTCAATCGGATTCCGTGCACAAGTACCCTAACCGGTATTGAACTAAGCCAGAAGGCGACAGGACTGGGTGTCATTACCTTCAATCACCCACTAGAAGACGGTATTTGTCTCCCTACATCCTACATATTTGCTGAAAATCACTCTTCCTTACTCGCTCAGTAACCCAAGCAAAACGCGTGTGGCGCGTTAACCTCATGCAGTGCTTTGCTGGGTGACCAGTGCCCTGAGATACTCACGGAGTCTACAACGGACTTTTGCCCCAGCTCAAGTTCAACGCCACGCATTACTTTCTCTCTTGTAGGTCGTCGGGCGTGTCCAGGAGAGCAACTGGCTAAGATGGAGTTATTCATCTTCTTTTCCTTCTTCCTGCATCAGTTCACCTTCGTGAAGCCGGACAATTCCCCTCCCATCTCACTCAAGGCTGTCAACGGTCTTACCCTCACGCCCACTCCCTTCGAAACCTGCGCGATACTTAGGGAATAGCGTAGTGATTTTGATCGATAAGTTTAATTTCACTTTCATACAGATTAAACAACTAATTAGTTATAGTTCATCAGAAAGTATGAACACTTTTATTCTTGTTAAAATAGGCTGGTATGAGTTCCTGGAAGAACTGAGCCTTATAATTACTAGAGGGCTAGCCCATTATGCAAAGTGAAGCTTGCTTAGGGCATTCGTGTTTTTTACACCAACCTGTAGCGGTTCTTCGGCCACCTGATTTAGTGTGCCTCCCAAGAGTTTGCAACGCGTTGGCTAATCACGAGGCCCCTAACCTTTGCCAAACGCGCATTGGGCCGACAGATTTTGCGCATCGTGATTGGCTAACGCGTTGCAAACTCTTGGAGGCACACTATCGTGAATCACCCTTATTTCCACAATTAATGCGCGGAAAGGCGTACGATTTCGAATTCTTTCCGCATTCTGACGTTCACGAAATTGCCAGTAGAAATACATTGATTCGAAAGTGTCCGCGTTTGCTCGTCAGTCACATCACGTGAAAACAAACTTGAAATTTTGTTCAGCTTTTGTACAGTTTTGTGCATATTTGCGTATAGTCTGTATTCTAAAGAGATGTGTCCACGAGGCCGATATGCTAAAACAAAAACTAAGCGCACAATCAAGTTGGTCGATAGAAACAGACGCACGTACGCTGCAGATAAAAAAACCTAAATGCAGAAACCAGCAAATGATGTACTTGCGCGTTGCATTTAGACTATTATAATTTGGAATTTTTCCCATGTTATTTATCATCTTCGTTGATCTCCATTATAAAAAGAGATCAATGATCATATTCTACATAGTTATGCGTGCATAAATTCAAAACGACTGCGCCCAGGAGGCATCAAAGCTTCATCCGCGTAGGAATTGATGAGTTAGCGCTCTAGTGATTTATAGGGACCATGTAACAGAAAGTTTTTACTAAAATTCTTGAAATTTTGTGTTTCATTTGCCCTTTTCCATTTTGTGGTTGCTATTTTTGTCTTTTTCTTTCTTGTTTTTTTGCTTTTTACGCTGACAGGGATTTGCATATTCCTGACCAAAACTGTAACGTAATCCAAGGTACTGAACACAGTGTAGCATAAATTTGTACACAAAAAATTGCTAGATTTATTCACTCTTTGCTATCCAAGTACATGTATAAGTACATGACAATACGGCAGTGAGCAACCTTTTCTCAGAAATATTTTCCAAGAGCAAGTTAGGTTTAAAACAGACATGTGGTTTTCCCACAGACAAAAGCGCATAGACCACCAGTGGGTTTTCGTCACAACGTGCATAGACCGTCGATCTTGCGCGATTTGGAAAAGTATTCGGTTCGTACGTGTGACGTCACTTCAGTGACGCCCATCACTGCACATTGTTACACATTGATCTCATGGAGTCACATGAAACCGGAAGTTAATGCACAACTTAAGTGTTCGTCCAATGGGAGCCCGCAATCGAAGTCACTTACGAACTGGATGAGCAAACAATGCGCAAAGCGGTGGATGGCAGCGCGTTCAGTGCGCATTACGCGCAACGCACTTACATTGTCTGTGGATGTAATTACTTGCATGTGCTCCAAAAATACGTTCAACTTTGTTGCTCTTCGGTTCTGCTAACTCTTCTTTTAAACGTTGCGACCGCATTGTTTTGAATCCCTATGGGCCATATTAAGTAACTGGAGGATTTTTTACAATCGAAAACTGGCTTCATAGAATTTTTATGGCTGGACTTCATCAACTGTGCTTAAATTCCTCACGCCTTGGGATGAATTTGCCCATAGTTTTGGTTTTCGTCGAGCGCCACAACGATGTGTGTCTTCCCGGATTTACATCACTAACAGGGCCCTCACTTGTCTAGAAAAGCTTAGTCAATTTTGTATGTTTGAAAAAAAGCAGTTAACAGTTCATCTAACTTCTAACAGATTTATTAACATTTGCAAAAAAGTGATTCTAAGAAAAAAATTACCGCAGCATTGATCCATTATTATAGCTCTACGGGTTCATCAGGTTTTACTTTTTATATCATTTCGAGGTCAAAACGGTAATGTACGGTTGCGAATGTAGTTCAATTCTTACTTGAGACTGAAAACTAGATATAGAAATTTCTTTAAGACTATGTACGTGTACCACTAAAATCAACTTTATTCCCAATCAGTTTTACATCAAGACACATGTATATGCTTTAAAACTTTCTAAATGAAAGAGATCTTGCCCTTGTTTAGTCTAACAGGGTTTGACAACCTATCAAGGCCACTATAGTATAAGTAACTGTATATGTACACGGGAAAGAGTACTCGCTACAGTTGAGACGGGTCTGTACAAAAACAAAGGTCACAGAATACAGGGAAACATCTGAGATGGGACTGCTATAATCGCACAAACCGCCTTCATTGTAAAAAAAAAAGCAAAACACGTATGTACACTGTGATTGAAAGTTAGTGCAGTGAAAGCATACATGTACAAGTAGTTTATATTGCAAAATTTACTAATCATAAAGTTTTGCAATGGAGTGTAGCTAGTAGGCTTTCTCTATTGGGCAAAGGAAGGAATAAATTTGTATCTGCAATTTCTCATCGCATAAATGCCTGCATTCATTGCTCTGATGTGACTTCCATTTACTACAAACTTGTCATGATCACTTCCCAGAGCAACCAGGACTTATTACCACTGAAACTATTCTGATTAAACGAGAACACTTTCAACACCAGAATAAAACTGTAGTAAGGAGGTAATCAGCCCCATTATATATCTTACTCTGAAAATGTATTGAAGACAAAATCAGCACACTGAAAAATTTAGAAATGGTCTTATACAATGACAGTTGTTGTACACACTAAATGTGTCCAAAACAATATCTCGTTTCTACTCAAAAGCACAATAAAGAATACAACCCTGATTACACCCAAACTTTCAGAAGTTCAAAGAGGAAACGTGAAGTGAACCCTGGACTCTAACTTGCTACAAAACTACGGATCTTACCAATGCAATTCAAGAGTGAGCAAAAAAAATTACATGGCAAAATGTTACCTACACACACAATATCTATTAGGAAAAAAAACACCACGCAAAAAACCTGAGGAGCGCAAGATTAAAGCTTTAAGTGACAAATATTTCCTAGCAGAAAATCTGGGCGGAAAATTAGGCAGGGAAGGTTGGAAGAATTAACAACGAAAGTGTACAGGAGGCACTCAAAGCACTGAACATCATGGACATCTGAACATTCACTCTCACGGCACATATCTCTTTACAGTACACCCGGAAAGTTGCAAAAAGTTCTTGATTAACTAAGTAATGGTATCACAAAACTTTCCAACATCAATCTCCTTCAGAAAAAGGTTTTTCATTTGGACTCTAGCATCCATTTCTTACAAAAAGAGACATATATACACAGATTGAAGGCAGCATGAAGTTCAGTGTTTCCTTAATCCGACCAATTTCAGCGGTTGACCCAAGGATCCTCCGTTAGGGATGTTTACAGTCTTCCTTACAAGCTCTTAAAATAAAAATAGCGATTCTTTTACAAACCTCGATGACATAGGAATTCTTTCAAAGACAGCAGTACTTTGGTGCAAACGAGTTTGGTACATATATCCACATGACATTTCATTCAAATCATAATTAAAGAAACCAAAAGTGCAACAACATTGCAAGCAATGCGCATCATCACTGCCAAATGCCCTTCTTATACCAGTGGGTAGCTAGCAGAAGTAGCAATGCCACACTGATTGTTCTTGTTGCGGGACATCATGATGTAACCATCCACTCCCCAGTCAGTGCCCCAACTGGAACAAAAAACAACATTAAGAATTCAAGGTTTACGGACTACAAAATTACATTTACTGATAACACTATAAATGCTACAGCGCGTGATCTGTCGAATGATGAAAAGAATGCTAAATTATGAAAAGCTCTCCCAAACTATAAGTAGCCACAGTGGAAATTTTAAAAACTGCTTTTAGTTACATGTACATCTAACTCCTCAGAGGTGAGATAAATTATCCTGTACAAAATTTAAGGAGAAATTTAAGGAGAAAGACACGAAACAGATGGACATTTCTATTCCTTTGGCTTATCATGGTATGAGGACTTCTCTGTGGGAAACAAGATGTTGGACTGAGGACACAGTAGCGATTAATAACATTCTTGAGATCCATTGTTTTAGGTGTAATCGTGCAGGAATTAATGAGCATTTGATGGCACGTTATCAGCCGCAGTATTAAAATGCAGCATAATGGGGGGGGGGAACCAACCTGTTCTTCACAAGCCAATAGTCTTCTCCAGAGTTGACACCATATCCAACCACCAATACACCGTGATCAAGCTCTCTGGAGCTGCATTGTGGCTCGTTGTACACACCTGTCATGCAAAAAGGACACAGGCAAATAATTTTGCAATCCCACCCTTTTGAGGGTAAGAATTTCTTAATACTTCACAGCATCACAGATTCACGTATTTGTTAGAAACTATATAACTGATGCAGATTTTTGATGAGGAACACATAACATTATTGAGAAGGTTTTTGGCTACCAATAGGGCATCAGCTAAAATACTAAAAGCCAAAGAGAGTACCAGTTAAGTTTCATGTTGTCAGACTGGAAAGTACTACTCGCACCACAGAAACGCCTGTCAGATTGTCACAAACCATTGTGTAAACATGGTTCCCATGAAAATGAAAATCTACTGTCACAGCGAGGGAATGGGCCTTACAACTGAACAAAGGCTACAGCCAAACAGGTGAATCAACATGACAGAGTCCAGTCATCACAAATAAGCACATGCTCATGGAGACACTTCTAATTTGCAATACTGCTTACTAAAAGCCAGAATTACCACGCCACCTCAATCAATAATGCCTTGGTTGCCTGCTCAAACACGTTTGCCCAGTACATCCCCTGTAAGGGGAGGACCAGTGATCTTCTTTTCTATTTTAAATTGGCCACTGGTCTAGACACTCACCTTCTCTGTATAGCTGGAACGAAGAGTGACTGGCGTCAATGGCAACAGAGATGGGGCCTTTGGTGGCGCATGCTGCCAACAGGTCTGTCTCGCTCCCCGCCTCAATGTCCACGAAGCCTGTGCAGAATCCCTTCACGCATCCCGTGGTCTGATTGTACTTGCACTTGGTCTCATCCTAGAAAGAACCCAGTGGAAATCATACATTCTTGAAACAAGCTTTTCAACTGTTTAACTGTGTGATTTGCTTCACAATACCAAATAAGACTCTTGTGTCGGGCAATTTGGGGTCTGAAAACCATTGGCACCACAATGCCATTGGCAGCACAAAGCCTAACCTTGTACATACATGACACACCTGGAAGTCAGAAACAGCATTATCATGATTTCTGCTGCTACAGAGGAAGTGGAAAATCAAAAAAAAATTATAAAGAAAGCTGCCCCACATGTATTCAAGTCAAGAAAATCCTCTTTTGTGATTCCTTTAACTTCTACCTGAAATTGGTGGCATGCAGTACCCAAGTTCTGATGTTAGAGATTTGAAAGTCATTAACAGCATTACCTTGGCTTTATATTTGTAGCATGTCTCCTTGTCGATACCGTTGTTTTCCTTGACATACGTAAAAGCATCGTCCATAAGGCCACCATTGCACCCATCATCCCCCTCCACATAGGAACAGTCCACCAGGTTCTGCTCGCTCAAGCTGGGCAGGATACCCGTCTTGGCAAAGTTCTGCCCTTCCAAGGAGCCTGTGGCACTGAACGCCCAGCAGGAACCACATTGCCCCTAGCAGGGAGAGGAAGATAGGAAAGTTTGATGAGTTTGTCTTAACCTAAACCATCCTCCATCCTTCAATATTGGAGGATTGGAACTGTTGGATTAGATTTCTACAGGTCACACTGTAATCTCCAATGTCGTTAACATGTTCTCAAGACATCTTTCGATTTTTGGGCAAATATCTCTAGAAATTCTTTCAAATTCACCACTTTGTGATAAACCAAGGGACAGAGCTATCTTCTTAAGACTTTGTCAAATGAAAGTCAGTCACAGCTCAAGGAACTGTCAATACATTATTGCTGCTTACATTAATCAGTCAGTGCAGTCAAATTTGCATGACTGATAGGTGGAGACTGGAAAAAGCTATGTTTTCATGAAACTACAAGGTAAAAAAGTTCAGATTTGGTCCTTGAACGTTTAGGAAACCAATTACTTTAAGGCCTATGCTGACAAATTACCGTTAGACAAGGAAAAAGAAATGTGTGGCAAACTTTGCTAAATCCAATCAATCTACACGTGAGTGTAATCTGTTTAGGTGCCAGGACTGTGATCAGTCATTGCACATGGTAGGTTTGAAGGGAGGGACAGCTCTTGCTCTGTCCCCCAATGGTGGCCGTGGCTGGAAATAACATGTCGAGAGCACGGTTTCCACCAGACAGCCGCTACAGGTTGTGTTCCTGCCAGCTGCAGCCATGAGCTCACTTACCTGATTCTTGACCGGGGTGACGTATCCCTTCTCACGCCAGTCCACAGTATCGGGGTACTTGACGTTCTGTGGTTCCCTGAAGGTAACGGTTGCTTTGGGAGGATTAGCTCTTGTCTTGTACCCATTCATGACATCTTTGAACTCTTGGCTTGTCTGACAATTGGAATGGTTGGGGGTGGGCAGGGAGGAACCCAAAATGCCATCAAGTGAGAAACTAACACACTTTTATGATCTTTACCATTATCTCCAACTCCATCGGTATGTTTACAAATATCTCCCTGAAATCCTACCATATCATGCTTCAAGGAAACTGTTGCACATTCTTTGAAACTATGTTTTCACAGGATATCAGCCCCTACCTACGAGTAACTGTCACTGGAATCAGTGACATCTCTCTTCCTCCACTAAAATTATCCTGTGGATATTGAGGGATAGCAAGAGATCAATTTACTTGAAGTTGAAATGCAAACAACACAGAGAGAGGAAATGACATAGGCCTTCCAAAGTTTCACAGGACTGTTTAAAACAAAGTTCAGGGTGCAAATGTGCCAATCATAAACGTCAGCCCAGCTGCACCATCTCCGATGTTCTCCACTGAGTTTAAATGTTGAACGGGCCAAAAGCGTACCCTTCTCCCAACAGTATGAGACCATCTTTATCATCCAGTGTAAAGTTTAACTAAACTGATGTGCACATGCACGTGGTATCACAGATTTCCATTCAACAAGTTTGCTTCGACTCAGCAAAGAGGTGTTACATGTAATGCATGCTTGTGTTCAATCTTAAAGTTTCACAACACATTACTTGGTACCCAAACCATTTGAGGTACCAAGCAGTTCATGAGTTACAAATTCCTTAAACCGGCATATTACATGTACATGTAACTCTGCCGCGCATTTCTTCATCTGTCTCTTGTCAAGTTCCTCCTGACTTCTATGTATCCGTATCTCTTGAATGAATTAATTCGTGCACAGGAACCAGGATGTAGCTGTGGCACTGAACAAAAAAAATCCCTGACCTCCGTCTAGTTGCGTTTCTACATTGTATGAAAAAAAAAATCCTTCATCTGTTCAATGAACGCATGACTGAACACGCAGTAGGGTCCCACACTCTAATCCCTTGTCAACATGTACAACCACATCTAAAAAGACCACACACAAGTGTGTCATTTCCAGTGAACCATGCCCCAAAATTCATGACATTTTTCAACAGTTACTCAGTAACATACGCATACGTATTAGTTTGCTATGTCATTGTAAATACAGAAATGGCAGGGTGAATGCTATTTCCCTTTTCGAAACAAATATGTGGCTAAACACATATGAAACTCTTCATAAACTTTTGGGGAAGCGAAACTGTGAGTTAGCAAGTTTTAAGGGATGGCTTGTGACAAAATAATTCTCTGGTTTTGTGGCATGCATGCACACATCTTATATCCTTGAAAACAGAATGCACCTGACCAAACCGAGAGCACAATAGCCCCACAAAGCCACGATCCACATCCTGTCACCAGACTTCCCCTGAAGCCTTTGTTTCCCTATCCTTCAATCAAGCTAACATGATGTTAATGACCCCATGGTTACATAAACTATCTGTTTCCATGTCACGAGACTGCCAGCCCCTGGAACACGTTTCCTGTTTGGCAAAGGAAACTGATTTTATGTTTGGATGGCTCCGTAAAAATAACTACTGAAAGTTGTGTCAAACGACAAGTGAAAGCAGAGGGTGTGAAAATAAACATAGAAATTTCAAAGTATATTGAACTATAGGAGGGTGAAGGTCATGATGGAAAAAATTCCATAATTGTGCACGTTTCATTTGCAAGGAACGAACAGCACAAGTAGAGGCAAAAAAAGTCCTGACATGCTCTTAAGATTCTATCACTGACAATTTTTTTAAGGACCGTAATTAAGCAACTCCAACCTTCTGGCTGACCGCACATACTACATTTGGATACTTCAATCAAATGTGGACGCTTATTACATGCATTTCCCTGATGTAACTGCAGATGAAGGACACAGCCCAAGGAACAGGGGGAGATGAAGAGTGACTGATACACTGAGAAGAGCACTTACCATATCTCCATAGGAGTTCATGCCAAGCCTGTAGGTGTGGTTTCCGAGGTCATACTCTAGATTGTGCTTTGCAATTATTTTTACATTGTCTTCCCAGATGCTTCGTCGGTGCGCCTCCTCGTTAAATGCTCTGTATTGCTTGCTGTGTACCTGTGGGGGAAAAAAAAAATAAAGTTGGATACCACAATACGTAAGGTTCAAAGCACCCGGGGGACAAACGTTCAAATTACTGAATTATTCCCACAGTTGAAGACACCAGCAGGACGTCCAGAGGGTTTGTTATTACTATTGTTTCAGTCTCAAATTTGTGACATCCAGGCCAAGAGGCACATCCAGAGAGGAAGAAAAGCAAGAATTCTTACCAAGTGTGATCTCACACAGGATTGATACACAGGGCGTGTGCATGCTAACATTTATATACCTTTCATGGTTACCCATTTATTTTTGAATTGGAAAAGAAAGTCCATTTTTTTTAAACTAAGATCAGAGTTTTTTATAAAATCTGGAGACAAGTTGTCTTCATCTTAATTACCACTTTTAAAGCAAGCAGATTTAGTTGTATGTGTACCAGTTTTCTTTATTATTTTGTTTGTTACAAAATTTGGATTGAAATTGACAAGTTTTAAATCAATTAATTTGATTAAAATCACAAACCCTCTTAAATATTATCTTTGCCCAAATGAAATGTGTGCAGTAAAGCACCTCCATGTATCCACAGAGGAGGGAGTTCCCCAGAGATACAGGTCCTATTAAAAGGCGATAGTGCCAGGCTTTAAACAGGATGCAAAGTTTGGACAAATCTACAGTTCACAGGAATTTCTTTCCAAGTGAATAAATGCCACCAACCACATGTGCGTGTATTTATTTTACATGCAATATTATGCGGATACAAAATGCTGGTGTTTTGCCTTGGTTAAATGTGTGCCAAATGATGTTTTGTTACAATGGGTTTTATGTGATTCAGTTCCTTTGTTACTAATCGAGTAGTGACTCTGGAACATGTTGTTACTAGTTTTGGTTTCATTGCATAATGACCAACATTTCTAATCTCAATAAAATACATGCGTACTTGTAGAGATAAAAGGTACATGTCCACTGATACATGTACTTTACCATGTTAAACTCAGAAGTGCACATAATCATGATTACAAATCCTCACAGGAAATCGATGCACTGAATCCAAATCCCCAAATCCTGCCAAATTGGACAACCATGATGCCTATGCCCGTATATATTCACATACATGTACATGCATTATACAGTTAAAATGTATAGGTAATTCCAGAAATTAGGGGTCCAAAAGTGTGACATTTTTGTGTCCCTGTTACATCTGACCTTTGTTATTTGACATGGAAATATCACTGGGATTGATTACAAACTATTACTCTTTGTTTGGCAGGTAATTTGCATTAATTCATCACTCTTGGAAATTAGAAAACGTGTTCTGAACTTACAAAATCATATGTCAGATATGACAGGGACACAAAAAAATGGACCCCTAATTTCTAGAATTACCCGTTTACAATCCAAAGGTTCATCTTACCTTTTTGAAGAGTTCCCAGTCTCCATCCAACTCTGTGTTGAAGGTGTAGGGCATGCCAAGGGCTGCCACTGCCAAGACACAAAGCACTGCAACTCGCAACATCACGAGATAACTATCTGAAAAGAAGTTTTTGAGGGGAAACAGAATAAGTCCATTTATAAAACTCACATGGTAAAAACATTTCAACTGATTGGATTGGCTAGTGCCTTTGACAATCTCCACAAGCCACTGCCTCACACTGTACTGAAAATGCACTCGGAGTTGAAAAGTAACCTCATCGGCAAAAGGGAAACAGGTCCCTTGTATTCCTACTCAGAGCGAATACTATCAAAGAAGAATTAAATGTGGATGCACTGGTGCAAGTGGTAAATGGCTTATCATGCGAGAATGTCTCGAGAGAACAACTTGCACTGATCAACAAGATGTGTGAAAGGCGAAAGACCTCAGTAATATGTAAAACCAGTACCTATTTGAGGACAAATGGAAGGAAAAGGGAAAAACGTTCAAGGTTCATAGGGGTGCAAAAGTGCGCAGATGTGGGCAGAGGTGTGCAAATGTTTGCCTGGCATTAGATGATGCATTGCTGAGGATATAGTGAGGTGAGATTCTCGGCCACATTTGTGGGGCTACAAAACGGTGACATTGAGCTTAACAGGAGGATGCCCCATTTGAATGAGAAATTTCCCTTTTCCTCCCAAAGGCACACGTACATGTAAGAGAACCTAACCACCATCGTTGGGATCTTGAATTCCTTCCAAATCCCACTGTGCATTAGAGAGTTTCAGGACTGTTCTGGGGGTGAAATCTCAGTATTTTGACGGGGTGGTGTGAGCCATTTTAAGTGAAACAAATTAATGGTACACATAAGACTCGTAAACAGATCCCTTTGTATACTCCTCCATCGATATGGACCCCAAGGCGGGATGTGGGAAACACACCAGACTTTTTACTTACGGACATCTACTGACATCTGCTGCATTTTATGAGCACACTCACTACTTACCTGTCAGACTATGGAGGGTTGTTATTCACCACAATTTAAGACATGTTTTTATTTGCGAGAAGAAATTTATTGCGGCCACCTTAAAGACTGCATAGAATGTGAATTTTGGCAAAAAATTTTGACTTGCATTTGATCCCAACTCATTTTTGTCTAAATTTGAGGGAGCTCTTTGAGATCAGCTTTGCAATTGTATCGACAACTGTTGATATACTGAGGGCTGTTTTGTGTGTATGAGAAATCATGCTTCAATGGCTGTGTAATAATATATACACTGCTCATTAAACATACAATTACAAAAAATAAAAGGAAAATAAAGACTTGACACTCCTAAAAACAATCACTGATGTGTGCTAGGCCTATCACTGGAGTCCATTTTGCCATCACACACCACGCCATGATCCGTCGGCAGGCCAAAATTTGGATTTTGACGATCCTTACGCAACATGCCCGGTTGAAATCTTGACTTAACCATCGACTAGCCCTACTAGTGAGGCACAGACTCTCGCTACCGCTCCATCCTTAGCCACACATCTGTATACGCAATTTGCGTGTTGTCATAGTGAAAAGTTCGGTGCAAACTCTTATAATCGTAGCTGAAATTTTTTTTGCACACAGAAATTATCATTAGCCTTTCCGCTTTCTTAACGCTATTTGCTAACCATCGACGTAGTTAGTCTGAAAGGGTCTGTCTGAAAAAAATGGCACTTATTTAGGCCTACATGTATTGATACATGTATCCCTGTACATGTATATATACATGTGTTAGTATATGATATATCATATACTAACATGGACTTAAAAACACATCAGCACATTGAGGCTGCTGGAATGGTTAGTCATCAGTAGGTGTGTCATGTTTGTCTGTCTACGGCATTTACATAGTATGTAGGCCTACATGTACACACGACAACCATGGACATGACGGAGGAAGGACACAGGGCCTGCCAGAGATTTACAACATCGTAACAAGGAGGGGGGCCTAAGTTATGAAGGAAGACAACCCATACAACTTAAAACATGTAAAACTAAAAGCAGAAACTCACCGTAGGCTATCTCACTCAGGAAAACTATGAATGAATGTTTGTGATGAATTACAAGCAGGCTCTCTTGAACTTGGACTTCGGGCTGTTAGGTCGAAGAATGTCGCGCTAATGTCACCATCAAAGCCACGCTGTCGAGTTCTGGCCTAGCTTTATGCAACCAAACTTTTTTACTATGTCATCGATTGTTGACAAAAGATCTCGTGACCGTATTCAGCCTCGCCAACGCTTGCCTAGTTCCTCGAACACGAGCACGCACTTAAGATACTGACGTTCGCGCATCTGACTATGACTATTCACTCGGGTCAAAGATTCACGTGATTTTCAGATTCCTGGTATTGTCTGCATTTTGCCGACGTCAGAGGGCTGATGCAATAGCCGGTCACCTCGTGACCCTCATGTATCACATGGGCGGACCAAAAACCCTGTGCCCAAAACAAATTTTTTTTGGAGGGGGGCTACATTTGGGAGCTCAGTTTGCGCACTTTTGGAAGAACGGAAAATGAAATTATATTAAAAATCTACCTTCCACTATTGTTTTGAATGGTTCTTTTTGAGAAGGCATTGACATCGCTCTTGTTTCCCCCCTGGATATTCTCTTGGAATAATTGAGCTATAGAAACGTTTGCTGTAAGCATGGAGGTAGGAAAAGGCTGTAAGCCCGCTCCATCATTACGACAAAAGTCATCTGCAAATGATGAAGTTAGTCCATTGGTTCCTAAACGATTGTGAAGCATTACTATATATCCCTTGAAAATTTGTACCTTATAATCGTAAATCGTGTCCCTTTTTCACGTTTTCTTGACATGTTTTTTAAATATGATAATTTACGAAAAGCAAAATTGTAACTGGCGGTCAGTGGATGTACGCGTTTTAAATACCTATAGGATTCTCCCCTGGCTAAGGTGTACGCGAGGTCACCTCCACCCTGCGTATAGGGGAGCACTGAACCAATTCAAGCTCCATT